CTTTTTCAGGATATTGTGTATGCCCTTCTACAGTCAGATGAGGGTTTTCATTACTCCAATATCTGCAGTTATGTTTATTTACAAATCCATTTAAAGAAAAAGTGCATTCATCACTAAAGCAGATATTTTTCACAAAAACGTTGTTATTATTAATAATAGTGGTCACTTCTTCACAAAACTGTATTCTCCTGTCAAAATCGTCTTCAGTTAGCTCTTGATGTATTTTCAATTTATAAGGATGGAATTTGTGAAGTTTTACAACTTTATGAACAGAACCCAAGGATATACCAGTTGCACGAGATACCTGACGCAATGAAGTATTGGGGTTGATACCGAAATGACCCAACACTTCCAGTTGAGCGGTTTCATTCAAAACTCTCGACTCATTATGTTTTATGTTGGCAACGGACCCAGTCTGAGTGAATTTCTTCATGATCTGGATGCCTTTCATTAAAAACTGCGGCAGTTCGTCGAGCACATTCATTTTGGGATCCATACATTAATACAATTTCAATCCTTTCCTGCAAACTGTAAACCATTATTGCTGTTTTATTTAAATAACTTTGTTAAGTGGATAACACAAAGTTGTTTAAGTAATAACCAAATAAACTTATGTTTAGAATTGCACTTTTATTTTATTCTTTTCTCGCACTGTGAGCCTGCCTATAACTCGTTTATAGAAAGAGAAAAATTTCGTCTCTTTTTTTCCTTTTTTTGGCCATTCGAGTCAAGAGTAATTTTCATACAGGTTTAATGTAAAATACTTTCAATAAAATTTAGTTTAATTCATAATTATACGTGTTTAGTTTTCTTAAATATTTCCGATTGCTCCGAAATAATAAAGGTTTAATGGTCGTTGTAAAAACGAACATGGTAATTTAATTTTATAAATTAATAATAAAAGATTACTTATTCTTGCTTTTAAGAAGGTGATTAAAGTTTTTAATATTAATTAAAGCGGGAAATACAAAACAAAGATTTTCGCAAAAATTTCGAAAACGAATCGATCAATTTAAAAAAAATAAATACTAACATGTAGTACCTTAAAAGACCTTTAAAATGAGGTATCACTTGACACCCCTTTCCATTTAAGATTTTTAAGGGGTTGGTTTCTGGCGGCGGGGGGTTGAAGTGAGTGAGTCAATTTTTGCATAAAAAGTTGTCCCCCTTGATTTTATTCTTTACCTATTTTAGCGATTTTCTTTTTAAACTTCCGGATTTACAGAAATTGAGGTGGAAAGTTTTGAAATGAACATCCTGTATAAAATACATGTTTGCAAAATTTAAATCCTCAAGAAAGTATATATGGGGTAGGTAAGGTGCATTAAACGAAACAACCTTGATATGATTGCCACATCAAAAGTTTCCTATATTAATAAAAATTTTATGTTTAACTAAAAATCACGAAAAAAGCAGATAAAACTGTAATTGAGTACAACTGGCTTTCATTCAAATTCCAAATATTATTACGCAACAATTTTAATGGCTTTGATCTCGTTTTGGCAGTATCGGTAGATCTCGTAACCTACATTCCAAAATTACCAAAACAAAATTTTGCGTGAAAAATGAATATATCCGGGTTTGCACATGAACACGTCAATTAATATGTAAGTGGTACGTAGCAATTAATTACGTTTTTTGTTTTGTATAAAGGTATTAAGAATGTAATGGTGTGTGACGGAACATCGTTTCAATTTCCCATAATATAACCCATTTTAGAACGTCTTTCCTGTTTAATTAGAGTAATTGGCGCGTTTTCATTAACTTAACCGTCCTTGTAGGTGATGAAAAAATTGTTTATCTCGAAACGGATCGCGAATGAATTGAGGTGTAAAGTGGTACCAGTAAAAATTAACGTTCCCAAGGTGGAAATAAACGAAAGAAAAACTAGATAAGTGTGGATCGGATCGAGCATAATAACATAAATTTGGCGTCATAAACATTGGACGGGCAGGTAACGATCGAAGTTGGCCAATTCCTGATGGCTCGTCGTTAAACTACTTAGCGTTCTTGGATGGGAAACTGGTTTTGTCGCTAATGGCTCGATGGATGGACGCGACGCCAGAGAATTTTTCTAAAGAACCAGACGTTCCAAGTATAATACACTGACCGAGAAATTTGTAAGAGCTAGAACACGACTTAGAACGATATTTTCAGGTTAATTTCAAAGACGTGATGACAACTTTTGGATTTATGAAAATTTTCTTTGCCAAATTCGAAATTTTGTTTTCTAACCTAGTTATTGAGGTCATATAGAACGGTTCGATACCGAAGAATAACGAGAGTCGTGCCGATTTAGTCACAGTTATATTACATTTTGCCACAATAATCCGTCCAAGTATACGGTCGTTTCTCAGCGTGTGCCGCAATTAAAACCGCGTCGTCGTTTGGAGGAGAGAACAATGAAAGTACAGTTGCGTGGAACGGCCGACGAAGGAATGCAAATGGATGACAGCAAACGAGACCGAAAAATACGCATCGTATGGAGATTTAATTGCGGCCCTAACTGTTCATGGATCATGCTATTTTACTACGACATTCTCTGTCCTTTCACCAAAGCTCTATTACTTATTTAGCACATTTCAACTTTTGCCATGTTCCTTTTGCATGATATACTCATATTAATATAAATTATATTTGAAGGCTAAAAAAACGAGAAGATTAAAACTATTACATCACACTGTTCCCTTTATTGATTTTTAAAGAGGATTGATTTGATGGAATATTACGACCTTTATAGGTCGACACGGCTCCATTAATTATTAAAAAACCACGATTGCAATGGAAAACGCCGTTACAACTCGAATTAAGGCCTACATTACGAGTTATCTCGCCATGGGAAAATATTGTTCCGCTTTGAACGAGGTGTGAAGCAAGATTTACAACGGTCTCCGTGATCCAGCGATGAAAGAATCTTCACTTTGTTGCCTGCTCATGGTAATCACGCGGTAACCTAGAGGCGCTAAGTGGTTATTCAGCTTTTCCTGTTACCCGTATAAATACTAAATTGTTGATTTCATATTGACCGTTTTTAAAAGAAATTAAGGTATTTATGGTAAATGACTATGATGCGTAATTGAATTTAATCAAAACGGTATAGGATATCTAATATGGTCAATACTATAAATTAAGTAGATTAAAAAAAGACTGAATGAATCGTTTCAATGCATGAATATCTTTGCAGATAGAGTCTCGTCGTTCATTATCTACAATTATAAATACAGCGAGTGACTCCAGAGACCGACCTAATGGGCAAATTGAATCGAATTACTGTCATCTCGGTTAGTTTAAGAACGATTAAGCAGATGTTTGACGTAATAACCGCGATTCAGGAACGGTTTTCAACCAGTTGTCGAACTACAGTCGTTTTATGCAGATGCACGCGTAAAAGTACAGGTACTACTACAGTTATAAGAACTCCAAATGTACTTTCAATGACTTAGAATTAAAATCAGTACCGGATTAACCACGAAAAACATTTCTTTTTAAATTTTATTTCGCCAACAATAACATTAAGGTTTATCAATACAGCACCTTAAAAATGTATGGGTTTTGAAATCAATTTCCTTTTAACATTAATAATTTATTTCAGACTGTACCACTCATTCCGGTTCTGGTCACATTAAGCATAAACGCACAGAGCACGAACAAGCAACCGCATGCGTTGTGGTTTAACGGTTTTGACGGAACGTCTCCGAGCATTTTAATGTCCCCGTCTCTGAAATTGAAATGGAAAGAGGTTCGCGGTTGTCACTCAATAGAGACAATCGCGTGGTATTTCTGATGTACCGAGCGTTCACCTCTCATTATGGTCCAGAATGGCAGCTTCCGAGCATTCCCAGCACCGAAACGAAAGCGAATACTGCGCGATGGTAAAAACGGCCACAAAGAACAGGTGTGCTCAAGTACTTTATAGGCCATTGTATTGGAGCTAGTACCATTTCTGGACATAATTTGTCACAATTTGTAGTATGTGTTTACTTTCGTTGACATTTTACGTTTATCAAAAAAGTGTTTAGATTAGTGATTTTGCGAGAAGCCGAATATTCGGCATATCTATCTGGCCATTATGGTTATAATGTATGGTGTATCTCTGAAATGATACCCTATATTGCCACATTATTGCGATATTTGAATAAAAATGAAATTAATAAGAAAGCTGTGGTAATAAGATATGTTAACTTATTTGGATCCAAGATACAAAATGAACTTTTTTGATGATGATTTAACTAACGAATTAACTCTAAAAAGAGGATACTATAATTAATAATTGGTGATATTTCCACAAGGATCCTTCAAGAAATTAATTTTATAGCGAATTTTGAAAATTATCGATGAAAATTGCAACATCGAAAATTTTATCAAAACTTCAAATATTGTTTTCTCAAAAACTAAAAGTTATTTTTCAAAACGGGTTGGTTCATTGGAAAGAGGACACTTTTATTAACACTTTGGGAAATTTTCATACTCATATTCCAAGAAATCGATTTTATACGAATTTTTAAAACTTAATCAGCGAAAATTGCAAAATTCGAAAAAATTCTCGATCATTTCAAAAATTTATTTCTCAAGAACTGAAAGTGATTTTTCAAAACGGCTTGTTGCACTGAAAGTGAACGGCTTTTTGCATTAAAAAAAGGATACTTGAATTAATAGTCAAAAGTGATAACAGCGATAGTTCTGTTAGTAATGAATGTGATGATGAATTACAAGCGAAGAGAAGAAAATTTTATATATCGTATTGGGATTGTTACAATGAGGTTGCTAAAGACAAACCTGATATAAACAAAGTTGTATTCAATGAAAACGGTCCTATTCGGGTTGATCTTGATTATTATCTGCAGTGTTCATCACCTAAAAGAGATACTAATTCCTGTGAATGGTGGAGTACTAAGTAATAGGTTTTTAATATCCGGCCAAAGCCTGATATTTGGTAACTATCCGGTATCCGGCCATTTTTTAAACCACTAGTTTAGATGAAGAGGTGTTTAGAATAATAATTTTAATTTAAACAATCAGTTTATTTAAAAACAAATATACAGTCATAGAGAAATGAAACAGTCTAAGAGCCTAAGTTATGTACATAAACAATCTGTACATCTTCGGTTAAAGATCGATTGTTTTGGTAAACTGGGTCACTACAAGTACACTGTTTTATTTAACCTTAAGGTTATTATCTAGATATTTCTTTTAATAATTTGCTTTTTACTACAAAGCACAGATCGTCATCGGAAAGATACTAAATGTAACTAGAGTGTAGTCAATGTAACAATGCCAATTAATAAAGAATATATTAAAAAAGTTATAATACTTAATTCCGGAAACTTTAAAGTTTTGGATGTATCTTTCAAAATTGGCATTGTTAAGCTGATATTATTCTAGAAGTCGATGGACTAAAAATTCTTTGGTCCCACGAACTACGTTAAAATAAATTAAAATAAATAAAAAAAAATAATAATTGGTGTAAAGGTCAAGCTGTATCATACACTATTTTACATTGTATAAAATATTTATTATTTTTTTAAAGGTAACAGTCTACGCTATCGATAATAATAACTTTTTGGCTTATTTACATTTTGCTCACGATTTGATTTCCAAAATCTAACATTAACAAACGTTTTGGACGTATTTTTTTTTTCGGGGATTGTTTTGTCAATTTTTAACTTTCAACTTTTTGGGTTGGTGTTGGATTTTTATTTGTTTTTAATTATCTAAGACTATTTACAACTAAGACTACCGCTTCAATATATCTCTAACCATCTTACAATCTACGTTTAACAGTAATTGTGCGTGTTAAGTGGTGAGAGTATTATTATTTTCTTTTTCTAAAGGATTCTAAAGGTTGATATGTATTTGGCACAAGAAACCAATTTATTTCCAATTCCTCATATCAGTTAGGTAAGTATCATATTAAGTACCATTTTAAAAACTAAAAACTTTGCAATGAGCTCTCGTTTTATTTTTTAACCTGATGGTGCTTAGTTAGAGATATAATGAATCCTCGCCATGAACTTCTCGTCTCTCTTTCAAACACTGCTTTTTTGTTTGTTACGATCCTCGGCTCTTACGAGAGTGGCATCAGACGAGAACGCAAAGGGAAATTACAATGTTACGCCAAGAACAAGTTGACTTTATCACGTCAGGAAATTGCTGGCTCCTCAGAAGTGTATAATACATTGTCACGTCCCGGCGAGCGCACGCGAAAGAAAGAGAGAGATATACATAGTTAAACTAAAAATGAACCCGGAGGGGTTTTCCCTCTATGCTGAAGAACAAACCACGTTAAGTACGGGTACGCTGGTTTTACCACCTCATTTGTCATTGTCGATGATCTACCGTGTGTGTAGACGGTAAATCATTGTAAATCCCGCTTGGACCTTCAGTGCTGCACACAGAATCTTCCGGAGTTCTTGAAGGTTCCGCCTCGGTTAATTCTTGCTCAACGTGTTTCGAACGGTGTTTTCCATAAAGATTCTATAAAAACAAAAAATATTTTTACCCAAACAATGTATCAAAAAACGCATTATAATAGCAGCAAATAATACTATAATAATTATTAATTTGTTAAGAATGTTATTTTTCGATGAATCCTTTCTAATTCTATGAGAAAATTACTAACCAATTAAACTCGATTAAATTGTGTATCGAATGGAACGAGTTATAAAGTGGAAATTAAAAGAGACCTTATAAGGAAACCGCGAGGATAAAGCCCCTCAAAATTCAGTAGAATTCGAAGATAATTTTTTTTTGTAAGAATGCGTTACGCCAACGGTTAAACCCAACGGGTTCTCAACGTATGCTTCGTGCATAAAAGGAGTTTATTGTCCTGGCACCGTTTCTGCTTTATATCGAAGGCGTTAAGCTGAACTGTGAAATGTTTTGCTTGTGGGATGACGTGCTCTGTAATTTATTTTCCAACATCAAACAAACCCTAAAATTTTTATCAATTTCACTAGCGCATAAGGAAAGCTCAAATATTACTATATACTTTTCTTTAATGTAAAATTTGGAGTGATTAACATTTTTTATTATGCTTCAGATAAATCAGATCAAACAGTACTTACCGGTACAGGAATAAGTTTACTTAAAGATCTGATAATTTTGCCTTTTTTGTTGTAAAAGCGAAAGACTCTGCATACAAGATTTTGCAAATAATTGTTGGTTATATGAGGAGAATATCGCAGTATTAAATCAAATCAAGTCGACGAAATGAAATCTCTATGGACTGATGGTGGAGAAATGAGAAATCCTCGATTTGGGCTATAATCGTCATAAATTCTTTCAATGTAAAACGACATTTATGCAAGATTCGTTTCAAATGGCATTTAGCAGACTTTATTCCAACCACCCAAAGGCCACCAAAATGAGGAGTATAACCGAAGATTAAACTTCATGGTACAATTCGTTTTAACTAATTATTAACAATGTTTGATTACTTATCGTGGAGAAACTACGAAATTTCTGAAATTTATCATGTTGAATTCGAAAATTTCACCATTAAAAACTTGGTGTGAAAATATGGCAATAATCGGATCTATACAGGGTGTTCCGGTGAATCGGGGCATAAAATTAACATATACTAGAGCAAAAATGATGACGATTCGTGAAAAAAAATTATTATAAAAGTCTTCAAATGGCCAAGATATGGGCCATCAAAGTTCAGAATTTTTAACACATTTTTCTAAATATTTTCAATACCATTTATGGTAGAGCGTTGAAATTTGGTACAGGGTAAACAAATATCAAGCAAAATCATTGAACCAATTTTACTTTGATCGGGCGGCGACAACCATGTTATACAGGCTGTCCCTAAAATTTGTTTGTTGAGAACTTTTTTGTTCGCTCGTAATCCTACATTTATTTTTGTACTTTTTAATAGAAAATTTATTTTAGAAACTTTTATCACTCTTTGAAAATTTTGATAACATTGACCGTTTTCGAGTTATACGCGAAAATGTTAAGCTTTGATTTCAGTCGTAACAAACAAAAAAAGGAAACATATTCCGCAAGATCTGAGTTGGCGATGACAATTGAAAAACGAACTGAGCTAATAACTATTATTTGCATAAATTTCTAAGTGCAGACTGAGTTACATCCAGTGTTAATTTATTTTAGTTGAATAAAAGAATGTAATTTTCAAAACCATAAATTTAATTTTCACGGTAACAACAAACAAGAACATAACAAAAAATCGAACAAAAATATTAACAAGAGCAATAAAATTATAAACAAATAGTAATAAATAAAAAAGAACAAAAAAATACTAAAGCAGATGTTCAAAAACACTCCCGCCGGCATCAATGCACGCCTGTTATCGCCGTTTTAAATTAAAGCGCACTCTGCGGAGAACATTCATCACAGTTCGAAGTTGATCAAATGAATCAAAAATTCGCAACCTCAGTTGATCAACTGAAGTTATTTCAACGCAGTAAACTAGCGATTTAACGCGTCCCCATAAAATGTACAGATGTAAGATCCGGCGATCGGGGGAGCCAACTTATCGGTGCACCTACTCCTCGTCCAATCCACCGTCCCGGAAAACGTTCCTTCAGAAATTCTTGGACAGCCTGTGTGCTATGCGCAGGAGCACCATCATGCATATACCACATTGCTTCCCTTGTATTTAAAGGAACGTCATCTAAAAAATCATCTAATTCCTCTAAATGTCGCCTCTATGTATGTCCATCCAGCCTTGATGTCCACAATACCAGCCCAATCTCCATTGTGATTTCAAGTTTTCTTAAATCTTGGATTTTCGTCTGCCCAACTATGTAAATTTCTCAAATTGATGATTCCATCTTTAGAAAAAGTGGATTCATCTGTAAAACGCACTTTTTCTTAAAACTGATCATCAATTTGGATTTTGTGCTGCATTATTTGGCAATATTGCAGTCGCAGTGGGTAATCACAATCAGCCAGTCGAACTTCCTGAACTTTGTAACAATGAAATGGATAAAGCTGTTGCTCGTGAAGAACACTCCAGACAGTTGTTTTTGAAGTTAAAAAGTGCCTCGCCATATCCAAAGTATTAGCTGTAGTATTTTCTTCTACGTAGTCTAGCATATCTTCTTCTAGTTCGGATGTTCGGACTGATCTTACGTTACCGTTGTTAGTAAATTTCGGCTTAAACGTCCCATTTTCCCTTAAACGGGTTTCAATCCTTAAAAATGTTTTTCGATTGGGCGCTCTGCGGTTCGGAAATTTCGATAACGGTTAGCAGCTGCTACGGCATTTCCGACTTTTATAATAATTTTTTTTCACGAATCGTCATCATTTTTGCTCTAGTATATGAGATTAATTTTATGCCCCGAGTCACCGGAACACCCTGTATAGACAAAATTGGTACATTTTTACTTCAAATTGACCTGCAAAAGCGATACTTATGGAAGTAAATCATCATGAATCTATCATTCCTAATTTATCAATGATTGTGTCAATCAAGTTTTAGAAGAGGAAAAGACAGACAACAAAAGAGAAATATTATACATTGTTTTTGTAGATATGAGAATTACATTTGATACGATAGAAAAAAGAAATTGTGGAAAATATAGAAATATGAGGAAATGTCACTGTTTCTACTATTCCTACTACTAAGCATAGTGTTCTCATCGCATATTGGACACGTAGAAGGAAGACTGAGGAGAATAAGACAGTAGTGTTAGAGACAGAAAAGTAAACACACCCATCGATGTATGTGGCTGACCTGGTGGTGGTGGAAATGAAGGATACATAGTTGATAGGGATAATAACATTTATAGAAAGAGCAATCTTAACCCGCCCTCTGATGTTGTTTATAATTTTTCTGAAGCTTTGTACAACGAAATTAATGATTACCTTAACGATTCATGATTTAGATTGGTCTAAAACGGATGTTTAGTTGCCTGAGTTAATTTCAGTTAACTGCTTCGATTTATTAGAGGTTGGAAAAGTAATTATTAGTGCGGCCTTAATTTTCATTGACAAAGCATTCGCGAAACCTCTGTGGTTAATATTTAATATGTTATTGCGTCATGGTGTTACCCCTCTGGTGGTCAAAAGTTATGTACGTCTTTTTTTTAAGGTTTGAGGTTGTCTAACTAATTACGCTATATCTATGCGTTATTTATAGATATGACCTGTGATAATTTTATGATAAGCTAGTTTATTATAGACTATTTGTTTAGTTTAAGTCCTGTGTCTTAAAGAGCTTTTAGTGACCTAGGTGTTATTTTTGAGAATGAACAACTGTTTTTGTCAACACGTTGATGCAGTTATGATTAAAGCCAATATGATGCTGGGATTCGTAGTATAATTTCCTTATATAATATTTTTTATAGTGTATAAGTTCACCATCGTGTAGTTGTATAGTTGTTGCAATGTTTTATACACCAACTACTTGTTCAATTTCTGTCATGTAATTACATTGTAGCTTTTTGTTTTTGGTTTGAAATTATTTTTATTATTGAAGTTAGTGAGAGAGTACTTTTTGGGACCTGTTCTATCAATCTTCAGGTATACAATGTGGCTGCATCTTCTTTAAATATCATAGAGCGCGCTTTCCCGTTATAGTCCTCTGGTTCCGATGATGTCTCAACGATGATTTTTTTTAAATCTACGCATTTTAAGCAGCGGTACTTAGGTCTGTGTTGGCAGAATACCATGACAAGCTGTTGAGGTGGATACATCGTGCATACAAAAAGAAATATGTACTTGCTGCAGGTTTAAAACTTAAAGATTTGCAAAACTAATGATTTTTGTAGTGATATAGAAACCATCTGCATGCGAGTCAATCCACTTAATCTTTAACTTTGAACTCTGAAGTATTTTATGGGTGTAATTACATGTTTTGACGATCGTGTTCAAGATCGTTAAATATCATAACACTTGACCGACAAGTAAGGAAAGTAAATGAATTTTTCATTATGCTGTTCTATTCATGGCAAAATATTTTCCGTCTATCACTATAGCCCACTGCGATTTCAAATCTTTATTTTTGTTTGACGAACTTCTATAAAATGTTATACATCGCATAATATTGTTTACATATTAAACAACGTTATTGGATATGATCCGATGTGATACATCAAATCTCAAAACTTCTGTTATTAAAGTTTTTCTTCTATAGTAGATTATTTCAATTCAAACAATTCCACTATAAAGATCTATTTATAGTGTTATAGTGTCCATTCATCGTACGTCTTTTAACTTTCGCCATCTAGCATGTTCTGACATCTTGTTCTTTGAATCTAGCACGTTTTTCCTTCCATGTAGTGTGTTTTTCTATGTAACTTTCTCTAGCATATTTTTCTTTCAATCTAGAATCATTTAGCTTCTTTTCTATATTTGTTTAATTTTATATATGATTTTTAGCAATACAGTTTGTATTATATTTTGGATATCTTGGATCTCCTTTTTCTACCTGGAATTTTTTCCATAAAGTTGTTATTTTTTGCAAAGAATGACATTGCGTCTTTCTCTTTGCATCTAGTTCCAATTGCTTCTATTCTACTCTCATTTACTCGTTTGGTTTTTTCGTTTTCCATCTCTTTCCATAAAAATTTTCCATCTATAATCAATTTCCAGTAACATTTTATAGCTTATCTTCCATTAAGCTCGTAAGTAGTGCAATGCATCTATGTACCTAACATCGTTTATGCTCTATTATTTAGCATATTTTGCCATCATCTCTCATCTTTTTTCTTCTAACTACCATCTCCTTCTATAAAGTTTCTACATTATGACATCTTGTTTCTAGTACCAATAATCTATTTACTGCAATTTCAATCTTTTTCCTTGTATTGTATATTACATTCCATCATATATCATATTCTGCCTTCCATCCATTATGTTTATCATAAAGATTTTATATTCTGCCATCTTGTTCCTTGTATATAATACTTTTTCCTTTTCATCTAGGATCTTTCTAACATCTTTTGAATATTTTTTCTATCGTCTAGTGTGTTCTGCTTTTCCACAAAGTATTCATTTTCTTACATCTTATTCTGTGCATTTAGTACTATAAATGTCAGACGTTGCAGGTAAGGGAAATTCTAAACCTTCGATTAAAAACAAGCAACTAGACTAAACCGGTATATTCCCAATTGTTTTTATTACTTTGCAAGTGGTTAGTAATATTTTCTGGCTATCGTACTTAACGTTCAATACCATAATGAGTGGCAGTTGGAGCATTTAAAAATTATCTTAAAGTTTCATTATTTTCGATTCACTGGAGATAGAAAAATAGCAGTAGGCATGCGTAACTATGGCAACCAACTGTTTCAGATATCAAAAATTAATCATTGTCTTAATAAAATATCTGGTTGATATGGTTACGCATGGCTACCCCTATTTTTCTACCTCAAATGTGTGGAAAATCACGAAACTTTAAGGCATATTTCTCTTTTAGCTGTACCAAATTTAGAAAAATTCCTCTTTTGTGACGGAGTTATCATACTCTTCACTTGTCTGTGACCTGGAAGTTCTTCCCAGCGTAAGACTATCTTTGAGGTTTCCCAACTGTTGATTACTTGTTTTAGGTGGCTTTTTTGTAGTACACAATGGAGGTGGGGTCCAATAAAGTGCGTTTCCGTTGCCTCTTTGGGCAGCTTCTCCGACATCATTGCCGATAGCTAGATCTTTCAGGTTGCTGGTACACTCTCTGATCAGTGCGGAGTTACACCTGTAGGCTTAAATTGCCTTTAGGGCGGCCTGACTGGCTGTGAAAATGTTTATAGATGCATCTTTTTGTCCCTATTTGGTCCACTAATACCCATATCTACTCCGGATCCAACTGTCTTTGAAGCATCGGTGTACCAAGCAAGGACTCCTCTTTTTCGTCCAATCATCCCTGCTTTTAAATATGACCATTCTAAATGCATAGTGACGTTATTCGATTTGCTTACAGTGTAGTAGATATCTACATCAAAACATTAAGTCATAATGTTTATCAAGCTAATCGATCTATACAAAGTTCAATGTAACCATTTTAATGGTTGATACTCAACTTGAAAACGATATATTGCCCAAACAACTTGTGCTTCTCGCTTCGTGTTTGAATAATTTGATCTCTTAGCATAATCTTTCAGCACTATTCATTAGTCTTACTTCTACATTCTTCTTTTTCTCTTGCAAGTTACATAACTACCAGATCATTGGGCAAAATTTTCCATTTGGCATTCCTTTTGGTTTCATGATATAGAAAAGTTTGCAATAGTTTTGTGGCCAACACTACAGGGCTACCCAAGGTGATTCATATCTTTTGATTATATTGTCTTCAAACAAACAATTATATTTTTCTTTAAGTACTTTCTTCTTCGTTGGGGTTACTCAATAAGTAGCAAAGACATTGACCAGAACCAGTGCTGTTTACAAAACAATCCATATTTTTTTTTGGTGACCACCAAAATCCAACTTATTTTCTGCCAGATCGAGTATAAGCAATAACAATCATTAAAAATTGTTGTAATCTTTTGTATCTATGCTTGCGTTAACAAATACGAAAAAAATATCGGCTTGGGAGCGAGGATTAATTTGATTCTTGCAAGTCACTATTTGGTAATTGTACAAGTAATGTCTCGCTTTACAAATAAAAACATCGCTGGGAGTATTTTCGTCTTATTCAGCAGTAAAAAGTTCTCGGTAAAACTTGCAAGGCAGTTTGTGTAGTCCAAATATCTTCAACATCGTCAATCTTTATATATTTTTGTAGCATCTAAAACTCCATTACGTCTATAGATCAAATGAAGATGACAAATTAGAAAAGCATCAATGTTACAAAAAATGTTTTCTCAAAGTTTCAATATTTGTTAGACCATATATGTAATTCTCTACATTAAAAGAAAGTATATTGAAATTTATGAGATTAAACTTTCAAAATTAATAAACTAAGTATTATTATTGTAATAGAAGTTTTAAGTAAATTGTATAATAAAAATCTGTGTGAAGAGTGTAACAAACAAAGCATGAATCAAAACAGGTAATTTCCATTTGTATAGCTGTTCTTTAAGCTCGTGACATGCGTACGTTTACGTTAGTATAGGTCTTTTCATCATTTCAAGCCGGTTATGAATAATTCATGAAAATGTAGTTGGTAGCTTCCAATAGTTTTCATAATCGATAGTTTATCGCGAATACTTGGGTAACTGTAAACTTTTCTAGATTGAAACCCGGTATGTCTGTGCACATAAACATAATTCCGATGAGTAGGGCTTCATTGGATCGACAATAACTTAGCGGTACAATCTGAAGAATCTAGCACGGTTTATGGATGGTACAAAAGGCAACAACCTGCTGACGTCTTATTAGCGCAGACCTAAAAAGCCTAAAGTGTATAAGACAAAAAAAGCGTGCTGTGCGGACGTAACGAAAAGAGAGGTCGTGAAGAAGGAGTAAAAGGAACAAAGAAGATAGTTTAAGAAGAAGATTTAGAAGAAGAAAATTACAACAAAACATTTACACCCACACGACCCTTACCTTCTCTCTACTTCCTTTCTTCTGCATGAAAACATATCAGATTAATAAAATGATTATAACACTAAATTAAAAAATAGTTATTTAATAATTTAGGATTTCATTCAATTTTAAAATGCCTTAAAGAGTACCATTTAGGTTCGGTTCATTAAATTGAAGTCATTCCTTGTTAACCATTGAAATACTAGGGCACGTTCGCATTGTAATCCAATAAATGTTCGTTCAGCCATTAAGAAAGAACGAGAAGAAAGTCGTGCGTGTTCCATTCTGGGTAGAAGTAGCTCGGAAACTGTGATATCTTTCCGGGAAGCATTGAAAATCAGGAACGCGTGACAAGAGCAGCCCATTTCGTTACACTCTCGAAGGCGCAATTACTGGGTTCGGTATTTTTTTTCTCTCTTTACGAAGACCCTTTTCAAGACATTTCAAGTTTATTGACTCTAAGCTTATGAGCTAAATGTTTATTATAAAACAAAGAAAATGTTTACTGTACAGTAGACCCCCGACTTACGAGAGCTCTAACTTACGAGCATTTCGACTTACGAGACGTTAAAAATCGATAGTTATAACTCGACTTACGAGAATACGTAATATGTATTCCGAAATACATATGTATACCTTTTTGCGAATCATCCAATCATATGTACTATGTAATTGTAAGTGAATCTTCGTAGTCAGCAGCTGCTTGTTACGTTCATAAGTTTTCAACTATTAAGTGTTTCTATAGAAGATTTAAAAGCTTTAGAGAAAATGAATGAAACTGTTGGCGAATTAAATATCGATGAAATGTAGAATCTGAAGATATTTCTTCTAATACTTTGTTATCAATAATCCAAGCTTGGGATTTCCGTAGGGAAGCAGCTGTTAATAATCACTCGGATAAAGAAATGGTGAAAAGAGTTTGTAGCAATTTTGAAAATTCTATTATGAAGCATTTTAGAACACAAAAAAAGAAAAAAAAAAAGGCAGACAAGTTTAGACGCGTTTGTTATACGCAAAAAACCTAAAACACAAAATTCTCGTCAACCTTCTAGTTCTATTTTAAAGGATACTATGATAAATTTGTAAATACGTTCTCTTTTTTTCTTGATAAATACATATATTTTCTTATTTTAGTAATTTATTATAACACCGTACTGAGTATGCGGTACTTTTATCTTTAATTTTTTAATTTAAGCATATCTATTCCCATTTTCAATAAATTCGAATTCGACTTAATTCTTTGTGTCTCAAGAAGTCAAAAACTTTGAAACTTTGTGACAGAATCAGACAGAATTAAAACGCTATCAAAATACACTCAGTAAAGGCCTTTGGAACCAATTTTAGCAAAATATGCAATCAAAGTGTTAAAAAAGATGTTAATTCAAAAATTTTTGGAAGCCGTGTTTATTGAAATTAAGAAATGAAACTTGTTTTAAATTGAAGCTTAAAGCTTTCTGTTTAAATCGATGTATAATAATCGTTGGGTTGAATTAGAAAAATATTGACAAAAAGAGTATTGAGTTAAAACTAACATTTTCGTATAACCTAAAAGTGTCAAAAAAGATGTTAATTTAAAAATTCCTGGAAGCCGTATTATTTGAAATTAAGGAATGAGACTTATTCTAAATTAAAGCTCAAAGCTTTCTTTTTAAAATGATGTATAATAATTGTTAGGTTGCATTGGATAAATATTGAGAAAAAAAAAGTTGAAATAAAACTTACATTTTCGTATAACCTAAAAGTGTCTAAAAAGATGCTAATTTAAAAATTCCTGGAAGCCGTATTTATTGAAATTAAGGAAGGAAACTTATTCTAAATTAAAGCTCAAAGCTTTCTCTTCAAAATGATGTATAATAATTGTTGGGTTGCATTGGAAAAATATTGAGAAAAAAAATGTTGAAATAAAACTTACATTTTCGTATAACCTAAAAGTGTCAAAAAAGATGCTAATTTAAAAATTCCTGGAAGCCGTATTTATTGAAATTAAGGAATGAAACTTATTTTAAATTAAAGCTCAAAGCTTTCTCTTTAAAATGATGTATAATAATTGTTGGGTTGGATTGGAAAAATATAGAGAAAAAAAATGTTGAAACAAAACTTACATTTTCGTATAACCTAAGAGTGTCAAAAAAGATGCTAATTTAAAAATTTCTGGAAGCCGTATTTATTGAAATTAAGGAATGAGACTTATTCTAAATTAAAGCTCAAAGCTTTCTCTTTGAAATGATGTATAAAAATTGTTGGGTTGGATTGGAAAAATATAGAGAAAAAAATGTTGATATAAAACTTACATTTTCGTATAACCTAAAAGTGTCAAAAAAGACGCTAATTTAAAAATTCCTCGAAGCCGTGTTTATTGAAATTAAGGAATAAAACTTGTTTTAAATTAAAGCTCGAAGCTTTCTCTTTAAAATGATGTATAATAATTGTTGGGTTGGATTGGAAAAATATAGAGAAAAAATATGTTGAGACAAAACTTACATTTTCCTATAACCTAAATGTGTCAAAAAAGACGCTAATTTAAAAATTTCTGGATGCCATATTTATTAAAATTAAGGAATGAAACTTATTTTAAATTAAAGCTCAAAGCTTTCTCTTTAAAATGATGTATAATAATTGTTGAGTTGGATTGGAAAAATATTGAGAAAAAAAAAGTTTTAATAAAACCTACATTTTCGTATAACCTAGAAATGTACAAAAAGATGATACATTAAAAATTCCTGGAAGCCGTATTTATTGAAATTAAGGAAAAAGACTTTTTCTAAATTAAAGCTCAAAGCTTTCTCTTTAAAATGATGTATAATAATTGTTGGGTTGGATTGGAAAAATATTGAGAAAAAAAATGTTGAAATAAAACTTGCATTTTCGTATAACCTAAAAGTGTCAAAAAGGTTGCTAATTTAAAAATTCTTGGAAGCCGTATTTATTGAAATTAAGGAATAAAACTTGTTTTAAATTAAAGCTCAAAGCTTTCTCTTTAAAATGATGTATAATAATTGTTGGGTTGGATTGGCAAAATATTGAGAAAAAAAAAGTTAAAATAAAACTTACATTTTCGTACAACCTAGAAGTGTAAAAAAAGACGCTAATTTAAAAATTCTTGGAAGCTGTGTTTATTGAAATTAAGGAATGAAACTTATTTTAAATTAAAGCTCAAAGCTTTCTCTTTAAAATGATGTATAATAATTGTTGGGTTGGATCGGAGAAATATAGAGAAAAAATATGTTGAAACAAAACCTAACTTGTAACCTCACATCTGGATGAATAACTTTAAATATACCTAAAAACCCTACAGTGCGGATTGCGTCGTGTTTTATACAGATTCTTTCTTGTATAGTAGAAAGTACCAACAGCTCTAAATGCGCCGAATAGATAAGTACAGTTTAAAATGACTGTTTAAAACTATGACACAAGGGTTATGATATTTTCGAGTTACGAGAAAAGTTATGGAACAAATGTTCTCGTAAGTTGGGGGGCTACTGTATATAACTTTTTATAACTAATTAATTGATTAATTCTGGATGAATGTCTTGCGTGAGTGCACGACGTTTCATTTCTTTTCATTTCCTTTTCGTTCTATTACTAGTAAAGTGGAGTAATCAAATATTCGTTTGCACGATCGATGTTCTTCCCCCGTCCGATACTAAACCGTTTCGGTGCAATTTTCATAGAAATTGAATACGATCCCTTAATGGAAAAGCACCCATTTTTAAACCTAAACCGAAATGACGTACCGAAAGAAGATAATCTAACGTTAAATAAAAAGAATTAAATTTTTTTTGGTACGAAATCTTTATTTGCCAGATGAGACGGAAATTGTATAATAAAATCGTCGATAAAGTTTATTTGGAATATTGCCATGATGAATTACAGCAATTTTGTACGAAACATTTGTCTTTATTTCACGTCTTCGTGATTTGGAACGAAATTTTATAGTCACGACCTGTTTGCGCTATCGGATATATTAATTTTCGTCATCAAATCGATCCTAATACTAATGGCAGTATAATTTCGACGGGAAATTGAATATCCATCGCGACGGCGGACTCGTCAGCTTTAAACCCCACCCGATCGATTAAAGAAGCTTTTCAATGCAATCGAGTTTCATCATTATTGTAACGCGATCAACGTTTCGACAGAACAAATTAGGACCGTTTTGATAATTGATGTGAACTTACCTGTAAGCTGAATCTTCGATGTTGAGCTTTCTTTCCACCTCTTCTTTTAGATATATGCGGGTTGTCACGACATATCGTTTTATTCTTAAAGATCTCGAGTTGCATGTATAACCTTTTGAGTTCTGCTCTGATGTCATCCGGGCTCATGTCTGCCAAAGTAACCTCACCAACGTCCACGTCACTATTGTTGGTAGCCAGCGGACCGTGAGCGTTTACGTCCTGACCACACAAAGAAAAAAAAAACAGGGTCGAGGTGTCCTTTCAAATGACAAGATCAATTTTTCGCGACAACCGGGTTTTAAATGATTAAAAGCTCTCACGGGGTAATGGATTCGCAAGCTTAATTCTGTCAGTAATGGGACCCATCCCGGAAGAAGCATTACGGTCTCGGGGAGGAATTGAAAACGCTCGCCGGCCCGAAACATAAAGCAGTACGCGGAAATATGTTTCGCGACAAAAATATGGATAAAAAGAAAAGCAAAAAAGGAAATACACAGAAGCAAAAAAATCCTTTTAATGATTCCCCTTAGCGTTTCCTGTTCGAAGTTTTGCTGTTTTTAATTCCCTGGAAGGAAACGAGAAGGTATAGTCGTGGAAAGAACAAAGGATCCTTCGTAAATATGCATGAAAAAAAACGACACGATGTAAAAAGGAGTCGGGTTTCAACCGTTTTTTTGAGAAAAGATAAAAATAAAATGTTACATCATCATAACCTTAACAATATTAGTTTATTTTTTACTACAAAAATATCTAAACGGATTTAACCATCTTCATGTCGAAGTTAGATCTCCAAAGCTTCGCTCGTTCCGTTCCAGGGAAATACCTCGAAAAATCTGTCAATATCCTCTACAGACGCACTCGTTCACTTAGAAATAAAGTAAAGTGAAGTGAACCCGAATGTCGTATCGGATTTTCAATGTGATTTTTACGGGGAGAAAGATAAAAAAGATAAGGTCGTTACCTTAAAAGCATCTACTGGAATCCTGCAGGAGTACTCTTGAGCCAAAGACCTCGCTTGCTTTTGTTGGTACCAAAACTTTGGGGCAAATACCAATACAAGTGTTACGCTTGTAGTTAAATGACTCCGAATAAAATAAACTATGAGAATTGTGTCTGGGTGAAGATTTGGCATTATTGTTATACGAAAAACATAGAAAAGTAGGCTTCCGATTAATTCGATGATTATCGCTAAACAAAGATAAGTTCGTTCCTGAAAATCAAAAAAACAAATTAAAATAAACAACAAATTAGTTAAAATTTGATGCCTTGAAGCTATTTAATCACCAACTAAAACTAAAAACGAATTTTTAACTTACGTTAAATGGTGTTTTTGCGTTTCTACTGGCTATGCTTAGATGAACACCAAATAATAAAATAGCCAATTCCCCAATTTCGGTAACGTAATCCCACCATAAAGGTTTACAAGCATAATAACTCGCACCGTGGGTTGTGGTTTGCACGTGCAAAAGATCGTAACTCTCTTGAACAAAATTTAAACTTATCGAAGTAAACGCAGACATGTAAGCAAGCACCGAAAGCACCATAATAAAAAGATACTTGAGTAAATCCGTATCCTTGATTACCCATCGATGAGCTTTTCTTGTCCTAAACTCAATTAAATGTCTATACATCTTCAAAACAATCGCTCCATAACAAACGATAAAACCCAATTCTCTCGTCCATGGCTCCGCTATACATTCAACGATGGATGGATCAAAAAAGTGTACCACCACCTAAATAATGTATACAATACATTATTATTAAAGTCGAAAAGTATGTCGATAACAATAACAAGTGTGTAAGAAAGCAGGGCAATTACTAAACGTCTTAAACCTAATTTCTCCTCTATATATAAATTTTTTTTGTATCGTATAGTTGTATGACCGAGATTAAGAACGAGTACTTACTGTTGAGTATAGCAGGAAAATGCCGAGAAGAGCAGTTTCCAAGACCGTCCACATCCCGGACGCTATTGTCTGGAAAACACCGGTCATAAAACACAAGATGAAAACGAGTGTATGTTTCGTGTTGATTAAAATAAAAAAAAATTATTTTATTTTAAAATATTATCTACCTTGCATTTTCTTTGGCGAAAAACTACCAAAGCCACAATGATTGTAAGACCCATGAATGCCAATTGGATGCTCAAAATAACCGTCCTTAAGTGGATATTGCGTTTGGCTTCGCAAACTCCACCTGATTCGCAAGAATCACATTCTTTCGAACACATTTTGCAACTGTAAGCAAACAAAACGGGATTTGAATAAGACCCGAATGGGATTTGATTCGGAGGTAATGAACGAAAACAAAACCATGATGGTTTAGTCAATAGTTCCATTAGTGATCTATTCTAATTTTACATTTTAACCTTAACCTTAACATTTTCAAATTAAGATGCAATTCAATGGAAATTATGCAACCCAATCCGCTTAAAAACAATAATAATCGTAAAGTTTTAAGATAATTTAAACATTGTTTCTTTGTTTTAAAAGCATTTACCGTAAAAGTTACCCTTATAGTATTTTCGATTGGTCTATTAAGTCTATTTGCTAGAAAATTCAATTACGGTAATTCAATCGAAGTGAGCAAAAGTTAAAGTTGATTCTTAAGTTCGTTTAACCTAATTAGTAATTTAGCTGTTCGGTTTAACAAATCACATTACTATATAATTTCAGTTAACATGGTTTTGGAAACAAAGCAAATATGGAATGTAATTATAAAAGTTAATTTAAAAACAATGGATTAAACCGTCAATTACCACGCGAGGCATTGCAAAAATCCCACAAAAAATGTTTTATATGCAATTAGTTTAATCTACATTTTTTTATATCTACATTTCTTTTATATAGTCAGAGGTAAGTTCTTACTGCTTTGGTATTTATAAGATTCCATTGAGAGAAATAATAAAAGCAATTACTCGTTGGATATAAAAAAATTACGGTGAGAAACGCACATTCGGCCATAAAATGGGATTAGTCACAGTATCAAAAGAGTACCTAATATATTTCAGTAATTAGTTCTTCCAGAGGCAATGATTCATTGAAATCCCGAACATTCTTTCAAATAGATGTGATTTTTGTTAATACAGTTTTGTGACTCAAGTTTCTGGCAACAAAATTGAAATCCTTAAAGCAGGGAAAGCAGCAAAGTCACTTAAGAGCTACATGCCTATCGAATTATTATCAGTAACATACAAATTACTTGAAAGGTAAAAACGGAGCTGCGTTGATCAGATCCTCTTGCTTTCAACTTATATTGAAGAAAGAAATCTCAAAACTTCTGCTGTATTCATTAATCTGTCGGATGCCTACGACACTGTATGGAGAAAAGAAGATCTGTAAGTTCCTCCATGTTTTATCCCATGTAAATCAACAGCTCGTCTGCTAAATAATATGCATGACAGAACATTCCGAGTTGTCGTGGGGTCCAATGTGAGCTCACCAAGAAAAGGGACAGTGTATAATATAAAAAGCACGGCTACGCCCATGACTGGGGTATGGCTTGAAGAATCAGAGGAGATCCAGACAGCCGACGTAGAGAATCTGGAAAGGTGCTTCCGAAAATGACGACTCAACCAAACGCTAGCAGAACTGGTGTAATATATTCCATCTAAACAATAAACTCGTTGGCAGAATGATTAGAATACAATTCAAGGTCACATTATTCGCAACAAAATACCTAGTACGATGAGAATGATCTCTGGGGTTATCAAATCTACTCCTATGGAATGACTCGTAGTACTGAGCCATATACCACCGCAAAATCTGCGCCGCATAAATGTCCTCACGCAAGAATTCAAGCAGATCTTGAGCAACCAAAACCTACCAAGTGTTTTTATTAAGGATGTCAAACATACTCGCCTCTGATTCAGAAAGCCACTGAATAAAACAACAGTCACTGCCACTGATGAAGAATTCAGCCTAAATAACACATGGCATCAAGAAAGGATACTATAGCAATAATAAAGCAGAACAATTAGATTTTATATATTACAAGACTCCTGGTTTTGATATAACTCGTAAAACCTGATCAACTCTAAATAGAATGCGGACCTAGTATGTTAGATGTGCTTGCTTTCTGCATAAATAGGGCAAGACATTAATGTTCTTCTGCAATTGCGATGAAAATCAAATCGTGAAACATATTATAGAAGATTGCCCTATGACTGCTTATGATGGGCTACCTGAAGATTTCCTGTTGGCGACTCCAAAATCAATATTTTACATAAATGAATTAAATGTCAATGTAATGGGGTATTGTTTTAGTATTAATTTATTTCATTTTATTTTATTGCTTTGTGAATTCAGGCAATAACGTCATCCAATTCGATAGGGATGATAAAATATACTTTGTCTTTTATGTATCCCAAGAATCTAATGGAGTTAAGCCTGGAAATGCTGTTTGGTCCACTCTTTCCAATTCATTTGTTATGTAAACGATAATTCAAAATTTTTTTATTGTCCTAATATAGGAGAAGGCTGCTTAATTAGGACCACCTTTACATTGGACCTTTAACATTTTTCGATATATAGAGATACATAAAGTTTTACTAAAATTGGATCACTTGCTTTTTAACGGAAATCGTAACAAATAAAAATTTTGGTCTTCGCAGTAACTGCGCACATAGTGGAACATTTCCATGAAGTATTAATTTAATTTTTCTGTTTTTATATTTGTCAAAATTAGGTGATCTTTTCTTTAAGGTTTGAACTAAGTCTGATGGGTTGTATGGGTGAGGATTCGTTTTTTCCGATGATGTTATTTCCTCAAATAAACTTTAAGTCTTTGTTTCTTGTTCCGATGCGCTTCGATATCTTTCTCTTAAGCTGGAATAACATAAAATTTTAATAGGAATTTCAGAAGATTGCAAAACGTCAGCAAACTGGTTATCTGTAAACATATGAGGCCAAATTTCAGAAGCACGGATGCCACTCCTCTGCACTTCTCATATTAGCCACTTATATCTTTCATTAAGTAGTTTAGACATTTTCATTTGAAATATTTTATGGTGAGCTTGAAGTGCAGAGAACTAAATAGTAAACATCGTATGGTATGGCCTGGTAATATCACTCATTTCATCATCATTGGCACCACAACACCTGGTGGACCTTGGCCTGTTCTAAGATCAGCTTCTACTCTCTTCTATCCCGTGCCTTTGCGTTCCAGTTTCTAACTCATAGCATTTTTAGACTTTCTTCAACCTGGTTTTTATATCTGTTTCTAGGCCTGCCTCTCTTGCGGGTTCCAAAAACTAGATGATCCATCGTTTCTAGATGGTCGAGCCACCTTAACCTATTGATTTTGATGGATTGTACAATATTCGGTTCTTTATAAAGCCGGTACAACTCAAAATTGTAACACCTTCTCCATATTCCGTTTTCCTGAACACCCCTGTATATATGCCGGAGCATCTTCCTTTCATAGCAGCCCAAGAAGTTTTCGCCATTTTTTGTCATCGTCTATGTTTCTGACGCATACGTGAGGACTGGTCATATAAGCGTTTTGTGTATTAGTACTTTAGTTGGTTATTACGCTAGACGTTAATAGTTTTCTCATTGTCAATCAAAAGTAAGCTCCATTAGCCATATACAGTCTTCTCATAATTTCTGCAGCCATTCCTTTACATTTCAATTCCTTTACACTTTTGAACGTGTATGCTTCACTCAGATCTTAGCTGAGCGTTATTAGCAGCCTTCATATATTTTGTTCTGGACGTATTTACCTGTAGCCTTTGTCTCCCTGCTATGAAAAAAGGTTCCTTGTTGTAAATATGATTCATTTACTCAAGTAAAATTCCAAGCTTATAAATTGTTGCTGTGTGATGTGGGATCATCCAGCAAAAAGAGTACTTTCTAATCCTTTTCGAAGTTGACATGCTTCATGGACTGTTTCTAATTACAGGTTCAAGCTGTTTCTGGAAGTATTCTATTCCAAAAATATCTCATTCATTTTTCCGAGCACACATTTAGAAAGATTTAAAAGGATTCCGTGCGGGAAATTCAAGTACTTTGTTTATTAGGCTAAAGCTATAACAACGTAAATGTAGACTTGGCAGAACTTTCGTTCTAAACAGTATCACTTCTTATCATGCAGAGATGGCGAGAAGTCTTATATGGAGTGACAACTATTAGTCCAGTATGTTTTTTTGAATTTCTTTGGAATCATGTGCCGTGACGATATCTTCTTTTTTCTATCTTCTTCTTGATGGCTTAGTATGGTTGAGGATTTGAATGACGAAATCTGCTCACAAATGCTGGTCGGGGAATCGTTCAAAACAAAAAAACTGGTTCACATTTTGTTTAAGGTCAACATTTGATCAATCTCATGAAAAGTCTCTAGGGTTTGTACATAGTACATTATTTATAATAATAAAATATCTAGTCTAAATCCGAATATGTATATAATAATAATAATTTAATGATTTTTTTAAGGCGTGGCAATGTAATGGTTAAAGGCAGAAAAAGTAAACATAAAAGAGCTTGAATCTATACACAAATAAAATAAAATTTTCTTCATGTTGTTGATGAACAATATTTTATATAAGCTAATGAATTTCATTATGTTTTATTTTTTTCGTATAATTATATTTTGCAGCTGGTTATTTGCCTTCCATCAATTTTACAAAGACGATGATTTTTTGATGTAAACTTGAAACTAGTAGTTCAATATTTTCCTTTCATTTCTTTGGAGTGCAGCTTGTTCAGAAGGTAGTTAAATATTTATTATACTTAGATAAATAGAAAGTCGACACCCTCCATTTATTTACTATAGATAAACACAACGACATTCAACTCTTCGAAATTGCTCCAGTGAAGGCAGGCAGAAGCGACAATTGTGGAAATGATGTGTAATTAATTTTAAAATACACAAAACAATGTATAATTAAGGTTACTTAGAATAATTCTACTTGAAGGTAGTACGGTACTCGACGCAACTCCTAATTTTGCTGCATTCAGAAAACAAATGGCTGTAAAAAGCATATACTGCTTCAAATGATGTTTCGTCCTTTGTTTGATGTAATCGCATTATTTAGGAAACCTTTCTGGAATCGAATTTATACCCAACGCGTACCTTGTAGTTTTATTACATAGTACTCAACATTGTTGCCTATAACCCACTACTCCACTTTTAATCTCTTTCGCTAAATATTCTCTCTCCTCATAATATTATTTGTTTTCTTAGATTTTGAGCACAAAGAGCACAAAGTAAGTCTCATTTTATTATTTTTTTTTAAATT